CCAAATAACCTACATTTTTAGGGCTCCTTATTAATTTTGATTTCTTAACATAAGTCCTAGAGAAGGTAGGTTATTAGGGGTTAAGGTAATCCCTAATCCTAAACCCTCCAACCTTTAAGGCCGTGACGCTGACTCCTAAAGCCTATACCCTCAACCGAAATCCCACAGCATATCTCAGATAACCCGGTGTCCTGAACCTTAAACCCGCCGCTTGGAGGTAGATGTGGGCACGAGCCCCTGTGGCTGGTACCGTCCATCTTCCCATGTTAATGCACGGGGCGTTAATAATCAGAATAGGGTTTTGGTGTGTATTATATTATGATTGTTACGAGGAGCCCCCAAGACCCTATTCCAATTATTAATGCCCCTACATTCACACTACAATCCTGCCTAGCACACCCAAAACCCTAAACCCTAAAGCCGGATCCGGAATAGGGTTTGGGGGTTGAGGGAGTTACTTTAGGCCAAGCGAAAACCCAAGCGCTGCATGGGTGTGCAGGTGCAGTACATAGAGCAACTTGGCGGCATCTTTGCCACAAGGGCCACAGCGGATGTCTTCAATGCTCCACCAAGTAGCACTGGGTTTATGGTTTTGGGATTCCCTTCATTTAGACCCTAAGCCCCTGCCTAACATCTCCTCCTTTCTTCAAGACCCTCAATAACAATACTGAATAATTTTTTCTCACGAAGCCCTAGACGCATAGACAGTCCCTTAGCCGCGAGGTCCCCCAGTAGTCTCCTTTCGCACTTTTTGGTTTTGGGGAATCCCTGTCAAGCGTTAAATGTTGAACATGTGGAACAAGGGTACCCTTATGATTAAGGGTACAATTCTAGGGGGGGTAGTTACCGTTAGAGGAGCCTTATAGAAGGTCTATATACCTTATAGAAGCCTTATAGAAGCCCAATACACCCTGGACTCCCCACCTGTAGTTTCCTTCAAACAATGGGAAGTCTGTACAATACACCCTAAATCATGCAACCCGTGGGCCTTACAACAGAAGTCAAGACGTTGGAACATACTTATTCTCATGAGCTTTTAAACCCTAAGCCATCAACCCTAAACCCGACCCTAAACTCTAAACCCTAAACCTTTTAGGTCAAAACCCTAAACCCTAAACCCTAATCCCTAAACCCTACACCAACCAGTGGCCAGAAGAAATGGAAAATCATTATCTTCAAGCGCTTGAGGTAGGAGCATTGGGGTTCCAGGCACGCACCTCCTGAACCCGGTCAGATCCATGTCATAACTTTCGGGTGCTCACTATAAGCTACAGCTTCCCAGTTTAAGTTGGAGTCATATGTCACCAGTGTTCCAGCTTTCTGGGGTTGGACACTAGGCTCTCCCAAGATCGAACGTGCAGAACTCTCAACTTACTTAAGCACTGAGAGACTTGCATAGCCTTAAAGGGATTTAGGCCTTAGAGTGTCTCGTTTTTCGAGGTTTTCTGCTTTGCATTGAAAGCTTGAGCTTTATTGGGCGCCGGGTTATCGAACACAAACCCCTCAACGCGTTGTGGGGCGTGTATGTAACTAACCGACTGTTAAAGCTTCAAGATACTCTGAGCCAGCTGTTCGACGATGTCTCAAGCGATCCGGATGATTCATCCTCAGACGATGGTCCCAGACCAGGCCAAGAGACAGACAATCCCCGGGACTGACTGCGATGGTGTTGCGAGGCCGACCGCGCCAGGGAGAGGGCGGCCGCAGCCCGGTTCGGGCTGACCGAGACAGTCGGCCGAACAGTGGGCAGCATGGTGGAGCAATTCTTTTAAGCAGTCAACCAGACAGAGACATCATGGCTGTCGGGACCAGAGAATGAGTGGCCACGACGGCGGCAAATCTTTTGAAGCGTACCTGGGAAGGTGCATGTACGAACACACGTTACAAGTATTGCCGAATGCATCTCAATCTCAAGCAATGTGCTGTCATTGCATTCCCGAGCTATGAAGTGTGCCTAACTAGGATGTTAAGTAGTATCCTTGTTTACTTTTTTGGGGTAATGGTTCCTCCTATAATCTAACTAACCCACAAAAGTATATAGGTTGTCCCAGTTGGTGAGTGAACAGCTTGGCCTGAGGCAAAGGCTACCGGCTCACAAGCAGTGACCGCTAAGGCCAAGCCTACTTGGAGGGCCGGGAGACTTGGTAAGTAGGTACTAAGTAGACTTATAAGTACCCTAAAAGGGACCCTAATTGGGGTTGTAGTACTTGTAAGTTTATAAAATAACCACTCACTAAGTCCCCCGACCCTCCAAGTAAGGCGGAGCCAAGGTCGAATTCCACATCATCAGCACCAGTGCACACGGCTAACGATCCTGCCCTCACAAAGGGGGGTCTGTAATGTAGGGGCCTCCATAATTGCCTATTTTATCTTAGGGACTTTTTATGTTATTTATAGTATCATGGGCCCCACAACCCTATTCTATTTATTAAGGCCCCTACATTACGCTGCCGAAACCCTAAACCTGGTCAGGCTTTTCAGGGGTCGGGTCGGGCTGGGCTCTTTCGGATGTTTCTACCCTTGGTTTCCCTAAACCCTAAAACCCTAAAACCCCTAAGCCCTAAAGCCCTAAAACCCTAAATCCCACACCCTAAAACCCTAAATCCTACACCCTAAAACCTTAAACGCTAAACCCTAAACTCTTCTGACGAGGAAGCTCGACGAATTGAAGAAGTTGGGCGATCCAGTCGTCTTCAGATTCAAGGCGCTTGGTGCGGTTTAGGGTTTGGGTTTAGGGTTTAGGGTTTATGGTGCGTCTATCTGCGTTCATCCACGGAGCCCGAAGCCTGTTGCCACTTCAGGGTGCCTTCTGGATGTAATATAGAAGCCTGAAATAGTTACCAATATTATTCTGAGGGATCCTTATTCTAATCTTACTATAAAGGAGCCCAAAAACCCTATTCTAATTATTGAGACCCCTATATTGGAGTCCATGGGTAGTTCGAAGCTGGGTCTGATGGGGTACTTCATTGGGCGCAAGGACAGTGCTTAAGTTAAGCAGGTAAGACTCTATATCGGTTTAGGGTTTAGGGCTTTAGGGGTTTAGGGTTTAGGGGTCAGGGGTTTAGGGTTTAGGGTTTATAGGGGTTAGGGGTTTAGGGGTTAGGGGTTTAGGGTTGAGGGGTCTAGGGTTTAGGGTTTTTTTGGCGCTAGTTCATAAAGTTCCCAATAAACTGAAGGCACTGCCCACCGTAGGACCGGAAGAATCCAGATTGCAAAAAAAGAACGGCCCTCAACCCTAAATCCTAAACCTTAAACCCTAAACCCTAAACCCTAAACCGGTCCGCGAGGATTTAGGGTTTAAGAAAGGGGCCTAAATACTTACCTATACTATTTTGGGGATTCCTCGTTAGATTTATAGCACCATGGGCCCCAACACCCTATTCTAATTCTTAAGGCCCCTACATTAGACTCTATCAATCAATGGGGAGGTATGCAGCTGCAAAGCTGTTAGTGTTGACATGGTAGGTCCTCGCGATACGGAAATTTCCAGTATCCGAAGATATTTCATAGTGTCATAGTTTTTCCAGGGAGCTCCATCTACATTTTCCGGAACCCCTTACATGTAAATGTTCTAGATTCCTAGCCTTAAGAAGGTTTTGCTTTGGTTCGTACCGGGTGGTACTTTTCGGCAGCCTGAAGGAAGTGCATGGAAAATCGTCTTCTAAGAGGCTACTTGTCGAATTACCCGGAAACTCACAACCTCGGACCTTCCAGTGCAAATGTTTAGGGTTTAGGGTTTAGGGTTTAGGGATACTCTTTAGGGTTTAGCGTGTAGGGTTTAGGGTTACTTGGAAGGTCGGGGGACTTAGCAAGTAGGTAATAAGTAGAGTTATAAATGCCCTAAGAGGGACCGCATTTCTGGGCATGATACTTATAAGTCTATAAAAAGCTACTTACTAAGTCCCCCGACCCTCCAAGTAGGGTTTAGGGTGAAGGCCTCAGTTTGGTGTTTAGGCTTTAGGGTTCAGGGCTTAGGCTTATATAAGGGATGTTACGGGGTTTAGGGAAAATTGGGTTGAGGGATTTTTGCAGGCCATCAATGACTTGTCTTCCTTTCAGGATTTAAGACTTTAGTTGGGTCTCGTCTTCCTAAGCCCTACCTGTGATCCCAAACCCTTCAACAATAGTAGTTATGATCTCTCTAATGAAGTAGTCCCTAAACCCTACAACCCTAAAGCCCTAAACCCCAAAACCCTAAACCCTACAACCCTACAGCCCTAAAGCCCCAAACCCTAAAACCCTAAACCCTAAACCCTAACCTCAAGAGGTCTAGTGAAGGCCTGGGGCTTCTGAGCTTTAGGGCTTTGGGCTCTATGTGCCCCAGAAGAGCGCGCTGACCTTTGTTGGAACTGCTGGTGTGCTCTTATTCAAAGCTTCATAGGAAAACCCCTAAACCCTAAACCCTAAACCCTAACCCCTAAATGCTAAACCCTAAACCTCTTATAACTTGTTTCGGGAGCTTAGGCTTTATGCCTGTATGTTCTCCTTTAGGGGTTCAAGTCTGGGCTCCTTTAACCATCCTCTTAGGTTCCTTTAGAGGGCTGCTTGAAGGGTTCCTTGACGGGCCTAAACCCTAAAACCCTAAACC